AGTGTGCCATAAATGTAAAGATGAAAATATTCTGTACCCTAGTCTACTGCAACCATTACTAGTTCCTTTGCATGCTTGGAGCCATATTAGCTTGGATTTCATTGAGGGGTTACCTAACTCAGGAGGCAAGGATACTATACTGGTGATTGTGGATAGATTTACCAAGTATGGCCATTTTTTAGCTCTCTCACACCCATTTACAGTAATAACCGTGGCCAAGACGTTCCCGAATTCGATTTTTAAATTCCATAGCTTACCCCAAAGCATTATCTCTGATAGAGATAAAGTATCCACAAGCAGATTTTGGCAATAGTTGTTTAGGTTACCAGGTACACAACTTCACCTTAGCACAACCTATCATCCCCAATCAGATGGGCAGACAGAACGGCTCAACCAATGCCTTGAAATGTATCTCAGATGTATGACTTACCAACAGCCTAAGCAATGGGGCTATCACTAGCTGAATGGTGGTACAATATCACCTACCATTCTTCTATTAGAATAACACCATTTGAAGTCTATATGGGATCAAACCACCACACTTGGCACTGGGTCCTTACCAACAATCTAATGTGGCAGCGATAGAGGACTTACTACAACAAAGATACAAACTCAACTAACAATTAAAGGAAAACCTCTCACGGGTAAGTGCTAGGATGAAAATGTGCAGATAAAAATAGAACTGAAAGATCTTTTACTGAAGGTGACTGGGTATTCCTAAAGCTTTACCTTTACAGATAACATTTGGTAGAAAACAGGCTAAATCAGAAGTTGAGGGTGAGATACTTCGGGCTATATCAAGTTATTAAGAAGGTTGGGACAGTGGCTTATCAATTGTCATTACCTGCGGGGTCCAAGATTCATCCGATTTTCCATGTTTCCCTTTTAAAAAAGAAGTTGGGAGACAAATCGATGCATGTATCACAATTACCAGCTAACTTCAAGTCGTTCATATTGCACACCAACCCTTATCCATCTTGCAAACCAGGCTGGTCCCAAGAAGAAATCGTTCAGCTGTACAATGGCTAATTTAGTGGACTGATCTTTCACCAGAATGTGCAACCTAGGAAGATGCAAAGTGGATTAAAGCTCAATTTCCTTCTTGTAGATCTTAGGGACAAGATCAAGGTGAGAGGGAGGATTGTCAAGTGGGAAATCAATGGAGAAGAAAATGGACTAGATCATACAGGAAGAAAACTGGGAAGAGGTAGCCAACTAAAATAACTGATGCTGGAAATGGGATGCGACAGCATTTTGGAGTCTTAGATAAGTTTTAATTGTAAACCCGTTTTATGTTTTAAATCACGCTTTTCACTGTAGATGTGGAGGTAAAGGGTTTTGGAAAAGAGGTTTTTGCAATCTGAAAAGTTTAGTGAATTTGTTGAATCTCTTCAACAGCTTTTTCATCTCCTTCTTCATTTTTTACGTTATTCCCATTCCCCATTCTATTTTTGATTTTGATTGGTTTCTTATCCAGCTAACTCAGCTGGAATTATCCTATTTCTGTGTTACGATAGTTGTGATGTTGTAGGTAGAGTTCCGGTTGTGACACATTGGTCACGAAGATTGATAGACCTGTTGGTATAGTGTCTTTCCAGACTGCGAAGACAGTAATGACACTCTAAATTCATGGGCTGTGAACTTGGAAAAGCTGTTTAACCTTTTTGACAAGAGTTACCATCAAATCCACAAGGAGACAATGGTCCACAAAACTGCACTTCAAGTTTGAAAAATTATGTAGGGGGTATCGCTCTGTTCATCGAGAACACATTCCTAAGTTGGAATGTTAGTGAGTGATATGATCTTTTGTTGAGAGTGATTCTTTTGCAAGTTGCAATTTGTAGCATTTTAATGCTCTGCGGAAGTGAATTGGACCCTTGTTTCTCCTTCGAGACCTCACTTTCTCCTCGAGTTTGTTGTGATGTTATCACCATTTAATGATTTATTAATTTGGACAATCAATATCCATACTTGCTGCTGAGAATTTAGCAGGTTCACGGTGCTAGTACCTGTTATCTATGTACTGTGAATCTGGTGGATAATTTTTTCTATTTTAATTGTGAAAATTGTAACAATATAATGTTGACAGTGATAGTATATGCATTTTTGAGTTATACGAATTTCTACATGTATCTTTTCTGAAGTTTGCATTTATTGGTTGACTAACTTTATTTTTTATTTTTTTTTCAGATACTTTTGTGGTTAATTATATGGTGGAAGCCCATCCCACTTTTATTTCAAGATTCACCAACTTTAAAAATTATATGTTATTTAATACTATATTAACATTAATCTATTAAAATTTATTGAATAATCAGATTTCTTAAATAACATATTAAAAAAATATATTCTAAAAATTTCAAAATAAACGCGTTTTCCATTTGTATGTTTTGAGAAATAGTTTGTCAGAATGATAAAAAGAATGCATTTTCAACAATTTCAAAACAGACACTCAAAATACAAAACACTAATTCTCAAAATTTCAAAGTAAACGCGTTTTCCATTTTTATGTTTTCAGAAACAGTTTTTCAGAATGGTAAAAAGAACGCATTTTCAGAAATTTCAAAACAGACACTCAAAACACAAAACACAAAATGAATTCAAAACTGAAATATAAATAGAACAACCCCTTCGATTCTTCCCTTAACCAGTTTTGTGTACAAGGTCTCAACTGTTTTAGGACTCAAAAAACTCTTAAATGGATTAAGAATGCACCATTCAGTACTAAATGTTGACTTGGGAAGCAATTGCAGACATAGAAATTTCAAGTACATCCCTTACAAGCTCACATAAGAATTCAAATCTTGATTTATTGATATTCCACCAATTTAAAATGTCAAAATTTTCATTAATTATGTGTTCAGAGAGTTGTATTAGATATCCTTATCCTTATCTTTTTCAGAAAAATCCATTTTGTTAGTTTTCATTTCCTTGTATCGAAAATCAAAATTACAATCATCATCATTCGAAACCTCCAACAAAGTTCCATCATTAGAATCATCACTTCCACTTCCTCCATTATTTGAGCAATGCCATCCCTTTTATTGGTTATACAAAGCTTACAATAAATTCATCACCTCAGTATTTTGTGGCTTCAACTTTGACAAAGTCATAGAAGATACTCATACAATAAACAACAAACTTTAACTTGTACCTAGGATCAAGCATAACTTCTACAATCAAATCTTGTTCATTCTATCAACATTACAACAATACTTGTCAAGTTTAATGTTCATGTTATTTGATATATACTACTTAGCAAATAATCTTGCTTCTTGTTGTCGATTTTATATCCCGCAATTGTACGGATTGTAACAAGTAATAAAGTGGACCTAAGAGTTCAGATATCGCTTCCACGAGAATTAATCGTTCGTTAAATTATTTGTAACTTCGATTTGATTGAAAATAAGTAGAAAGTGTTTATTTTATTTTTGTGATTTTTTATTTAAATAAGGAAGAACAATAAAAGTTGATTTTTTTTTATGGTAGTTTAAGTATTAGGATTTATAAGTTCACAATAGTTATCCCCTTAATCTAAATTACCAAATTCTATAACAACTAATTGTATTTACCCGATCGAATTCTTCTAACATATTCAATTTATCTCTCTTGAGTTCAAATTGATTCTATTTAACTAACCCAACTATATATTTCCATGTGAATCCAGATATATGATAAGTGTGTTTTTCACACTTATTTAATATCTAAATATGCTTTTTATTGATAAAATGAATGATATTCTATTCACAATTATGTAATAGTTGCTTTTGTATGCCAAAACCACCCAAGGAAAGAAAATAAGGCAAAATGAGGAAAAATGACTAAAAGTGTACAAAATTGTGAATTTGGGGACCAAAGTGAACTGAGCATAAAGTTGAAGGACATTGGATGCAATTTATGGATGGCATAATCGAAATGAAAATCAAAATTTGAGGACCAAAAATGTACAAGATCAAAGTTTAGGGACCAAATGTGCAATTAACCGGAGGACTTGACAGCAAAATGGAAAAGGAAAAGATCTTGGGGCCGTTTTAATTGTTTTTTTAAAACTCGAAGACCAAAATTGCAATTGTGGGAAATGAATTTGAAAACCTAGGTGCTGGATGTGGGCAGCAGTTTATTTTTGATTTCTATTCCATTTTTTTCTTCTTTTTCTTTGCTCTTCTTTTGTCTTTTTTCTTTCAGTTTCTTCTTCTCTTCTCTTCTCTTCTCTTTTTTTATCCTTGGTACTTTGAGGGCAAAATCAAGAACACAACAAGGAGAATAAATCAAATAAAATGTGGAGAAGAAGTGGGGGAATCAAGATTCAAACAAATCCATC